AGAGTAATCCATATACACATGATGTTAAAATGATAAATATGTGCCTATTTAGTTGCATGGTAAACAGCTGCTAATCATCGGTATGTGCCGTTCCTGCTTTAAAGGAAGGTTCCCTATCTTTCTAGAAGGTTCCTTGTGAGGAAGTTCACCAGGGTGGATCATCATGGGGTGGGGCCTAGGAGTCCCCCTTTTCAGAGCTTCAAGTATCCTCAGCTGCCCAGGGATCCAGAAGAAAGGAGACTTTGGGATTTTCAGGGCCTGCCCTAAAGGCAGGCTTCCCAGAAAAACAATAGCAAGAATAACAATAAAAACTGACATTTACTGAGTATTTACTATGTGACATGGACTATTCTAAGCCCTTCACTAACATTAGGAAGGTGAAATTAATCTCTCTAGTTGAGAGATGAAAATAAGGCCCAGGGGGATGACATCATTGATCCAGAGCTCCCTCCCTCCCTCACTACCAATAGAATCCATTCTGACTCATAGTGACCCTATAGGACAGGGTAGAACTGCCCCTGTGGGTTTCTGAGACTGTCACTCTTTACGGGAGTAGAAAGCCCCATCTTTCTCACGAGAAGCAGCTGGTGGTTTCAAACTGACAACCATGAGGTTAGCAGCCCAACATGTAACCACGACACCACCAGGGTTCCTGTCCAGAGCCAGCGTGGTAGGAAAATTCACTGCCATCAAGTCAATTCCGACTCACAGCAACCCTACCAGACAGGGTAGTGTTGCGCCTGTGACATAGTGGTGATGCATTGGTCTGTTAACCTCAAGGTTGGCAGTTCGAAACCCCCAGCTGCTTCAGGAGACAAAGCTTTCTACTCCCGTAAAGAGTTAGAGTCTCAGAAACCTTCATGGGTAGTTCTACCCTGGCCTATAGGGTCACTGTGAATCAGCACTGACTCATTGGAAGTGAGTGGGTGGATTTAGAGTGGCTAGGACTGAAGTCAGGCTTTCTGGCTCTAGAGACCCAGCTGTTTCACCCCTGTGGGCTCAACCCAAGAGTGAGAAGGGCCTGTCGGCCTGTCTGTGGGCCAGGGAAGAGGGAGGGAGGTGCTAGCTGATCCAAGACGGAGGGGAACTTGGGAGGGCAGCTTGCAAAGAGAAAGGGAGCTGGGAGGGTGTACAGGAAAGAAGTAAGTGCCAGCTCTGGAGGCCACAGGGGCACCAGGGGGGTAACATCACAAAAGTGGGCTGGGGTCTCTGACATGAGCTTAGCCAGAGGGTGTATGGAGGAAGGGCACAGGGAGTCAAGATGCAGGATCTTAAAGCCCCCCACCCAGCCAGGGCAAGTGCAGCCCATGACATCCCTCCTTCCTCTGCAGACAACAGGACTCTGCCTGCAGGACACCCTGCGCCCACTGCTTCATATGTTTTCTAGGAAGTCAGCCAAGACAGTCTCTCTCTCAAGGAGGTAATGAGCTCCCTGTCCCTGGAGGTATACAAGTAGGGGGCCTCGTGACTCCATGTTACTATTGTGTAGAGCAGCAACCTGTGGGTCGAGACCCCTTTGGGGGTTAAATGACCCTTTCACAGGGGTCGCCTAAGATATGCTGCATATCAAATATTTACATTATGATTCACAACAGTAGCAAAATTAGTTATGAAGTAGCAACAAAAATAATGTTATGGTTGAGGGTCACCACAGCCTGAGGAACTGTATGAAAGGGTTTTTAGGAAGGTTGAGAAACCTGGTGTAGAGGGAGGAGATAGGTGTCATATAGGACTGTACGGCTCCTTGTCTTTCTGAACTGTGCCAACCTGTGACTCTGAGTAGAGAGGCAGGGTCTAGGGGTGAGGCTAGGAATGCGATGCCCTTGCATTGCTCTGCCTGCCTAGTCTCTCTGAATCCAAACTGTCCTGGACTGTTGGAAAGGCCACACACGAGAAAGGGCTCTCTCCCTGGGGGATGCTGCCTTCCAGGGGAGCCTTCTTATACTTGCCTCATTGGCAAGACTTTGTAGGGCAGGCTGTACACCAGTGCTGATTCATCAACAGCTTGGATTTTACTTGATTCTATTCTAAATTCTTTTCACCCTTTCCTGGCCTGCAAGGCCATGACTCTGAGAGAAATTTAAACGCCATGGGATTACATTCGGCGAGTCTTTGCAGATTTGCTTTACAACAGAGACGGGGCATTGATGAGAAGAATCACATCTTCATTTCCCCTAACCTCTAACTGAAATGCTATACTTTATTTAATGGTGAATGTAGGCAACAAACCCAGATTATTAGTAGTTCCTGCGTTGGAGGGTGGGAGATGGTAGTACCGCGGTTACAAAGGTTCAAGTGCTAACCGAAAGGTGGGCAGTTCAAATCCAAAGGAGAAAGCTGTGCAGTCTCCTTCTGTAAAGATTATAGCTTTGGAAATCCCAAGGGGCAGTTCTGTCAGGCTGCTATGAGTCCGAATCAACATGATGGCAATAGGTTTGGGTGGCTTTGTCACCAACTGTTAACATTGTTGTTAGGTATCATTGAGACAGTTCCAACTCAAAGCAACTCTGTACAACCGAGCGAAACACTGCCCAGTCCCGTGCCGTCCTCACAATCGTTCCTATGTTTGAATGGAAGTTATTAGACCTGCTACCTGAATAAAGCAGCACATGCATTATTATAGCATACATATTTTTATAACTGTATTTTGTTACAGTCACTTTTTAAAACTTAATCTTAAGTGTTTTGTTTTCATGAACTCAGAAACAAGATCAACTCATAGGCTTCATCAGCTGCACAAAAAAGGCCAAATAGTTTGTTCAAGGTCCCAGTGCTAAGGCCATGCCAATGGTCCACTGGTTTGGTGCTCTGGGCACAGGGGTGAAAGCAAGTACAGCCTTTTGAATAAGTGATGTAGAGTGCCCAAAGGGTGGAATTAAAGAACGGGAACATCTGTGTTGCCGTTAGCCATGCCATTCACTCACCGAGTTATTTAGAAAAGCTTATAATCCATCATGTTTTCCTAGTCTGGCTCTTCAGAAATAGATGGCCACCCCTTTCTTCCTAGTCTGTCTTAGTCTAGAAATGCCACTGACCCTGTTCGTCATCAGAGCAACACACAGACACTGCCCCATGACAAGGCACCTGTTGCTCACTGAAGGGCCCGCATCTGAATCCACCCGGTGGCATGAGAAAGAAAGACCTGGCAACTGAGAACCAGATGAAGTCCAAATCTACTCTGAAACATGTGGGGTCACCATGAGTTGGAATCAACTCAGCAGCCACAGATTTTAAAAGTGACATTTTAATAGCCAAAGTCAAATGGTTATTATACAGGAAGCTGTCAAAAATACTTTTAAAAATTTAATATTCAAAAGCTAAAAGGTAAACTTAAGATGGACCAATAGCCCTGGCTTGCGAGAGTTCACATCATAACCAGCTTATTTCCCAAATGCCAAGAAGCCAAGAAACTTCAGCAAAAACAGCAACTCATTGCTAAAAGCCGTCCCTTCTGCACTTTAGAGGCCTGGGCATGGCCAGGTGAGAGTTTGCATCCTTGGCTGTGTGGAGCATACCTGAATATCAACATCCCCTCAACACTTGGGCTGCTGCAAGGGAGATCTGACTCTGGTGTGAAGATGAGCTCTCTGGCTCGGGATCGAACTTGTATACTCAGTGGCAAAAGCATTCGTGCCAAATACACCCAGAAGGTGGTCACGGGGTACCTTGACTTTTAGGAGGCTCCCCAGAAGAATGTTAACAATTCAGTGTCAATTTTGAAACTTTAGAGTAAATTGGGTTGACTTCAACCCAAACTCTCTATACCAATGGCATACTGGGGATCTACTAGGCCCATGAATGGTTTCTGTAGATGGAGGTGTTGCTGAAGAAAATCCAGAGAGATGGAAGCCTGGGAGTCTATACAGCAAATTCTGAAGCATGAAGCATCCTAAGATGCTCCCCTCCACCCTCTAGTTATGTATGTTCTGAGTCCTTAGGTGGTCCAAACAGTTAATGAACTCCTTGATAGAGAGGCTGCAGGTTCAAATCTTCCCCGAGCTGCCTACGGAGAGAGCCCAGGTGATCTTCTTCCCTCAAACCAGCCATTTCCAGAAACACTGGTCTAAGTTTTATGAGGTCATCAGAGAACTGGCGATGGTGCTGCCCAACTAGCCCCTGCAAAGCCCTGGAGAAAAGCCCCTTCGAGGACACGACACTCTCGGCCTGGCGTTCACGAGGGAGGCCCTTCTTTACCATCACCTCCTTCCACAACAGGTTTGCATCTTTGCGGGGGCTGAATGAACTGAGTTAACCTCTCGTAAACTGCCCCTGGGACATTCTGCTTCCCCTAACTTCTCCTCCCTCTTGCCCTGTGAGAGGCTGGGCCAGTGACTCCCAGACCTGAGTCCACTCCCTTCCACCTCATTGTTTTAAAATGCTGCTAAAATCCTCAAACCCACTGCCATCGAGTCAATGCTGGTCACGACGTACTAAATTGATACACCCCCACCCCACCCCCGCACTAATTAATTAATGGCTCGCGATGACTTCCAGCTTGCAAGAGAAAGCTGCGTATGCCCGATGTTCTCATTCGGCTTCCTTTGTAGCAGTATAATCCTAGAAGTTCTATAGTGTAGTCCACTCGCAGAGTACAGACGGAGAAATGGAAACACGTGCCAAAACCTGTGGTTGCTGGAAAAGAGCCCCGGTGGCGTGGCGGCGCGGGCTGCGCGTGGGGCTGCGACGAGGCCCTACGGGAGAAAGCGCCCCAGGAACTCCAGGAAGCAGCTTGCCCGGCCCCGTAGGGTCGCCCCGCGTTGGAAGGATCTGGCAGCCGGCAGGCGGAAGACTGCTGGAACCTAAAACTCGGAGCTACCCGACTCGGGTTGCAAAGCAGGTTACTTCCCCCGGAGGGGACGGGAACGGGGCGTGGCCTCCCTGCTGTCCCCGCCCCCCCGCCTCCGCAGCGCCTGCCGGGAGCGCGGCGTCCCCACGGCAGGGGGCGCTGCGGCGTCCGCCCCGCCCCGCCCCGCCCCGCCCCGTCGTTAGCTCATCGCCACGCGTCGTGGTCGCGCGGAGCCGGCTGCGGAGTGTCGAGAGGCAGTTCGGCGGTGAGTGGTCGTGACGGCCGTTGGGGACGGCCCCCGGAGGGGTCGCGGGAAGCCGGATCTGGAGGGCGGGTGAGCGAGGCTGAGCTCCAGGCCGCGGTGCCTGAAGGTAGCTTCCGGGACCCCCTTCGCACTGGCTGCCCCTGGGGGTGCGGAGCCTGATGGGGGCGGGAAGGCCTGGCCTTGGCCCCCTCCTGCATCCTGAGCGTGTTTTGTGCAGACCCGGGATGAAGGCCGGTTCTTGGGGTGACAGGTCTCGCTTCCGTAAATGCAGCCCTGTCGTAACTTTTCAGTAATGGGCCAGCACGCTCCCCATCACTGGCCAGGTACAAACGGAGCCTAGGTTCCTTTCCCTCGGGTGCCGTGTAGTGCTGGGGGCACTTGAGTAAAGGCATGTCTTGGCAGCGCTGAGGAACCAGCAGTAAATTTTGCTCGGAACCTAGGGGTGAAGAGGGCCAGCCGGCCGCCTCGTCATTAGAGTTGGGTCTCTAACGCCCCTCAGACCGCCTTCCATAGCAGACCATACAGAGTAGAACGCTTAGTAATGTTTGTTAGCAATTTAAGCTATAGAACACTTTGTGATGGAGTTATGCATTGCTTCAATATAGTATTTCTTAGATTAGATCAATACTGGCCACAAATTGTTTTGTAAAAACTTTTCCGCGTTGAATTGCACCATCACTATACTAATTACATGTTACCGCACCCCTCATCCCTGAGTGGAAGCCATTAGTGATGCTTCTTTTCCTTTAGTTACTACTCTATTCTTTTAAGAAGTCACTGGTACACGTTCACCAGTACTAATGGCCACAATATTGTAGTTAAAACCCTTGGAATTTTAGCAAAATCAGTCGCTATAAAAAACTAGTAGGAACAAAAACAATAGCGTCTGCATGTGCTTGTAGAATGGGCGGATGGATCCTCGTGGTTCAACATGTCACCTTAATTGGATCAGGACAGGTCTGCACAGAGTGCATTAGAACGTTCAAAAAGTAAAAGTGTAGGGTTTTACCTCTGTAGGTATACTGATAGTGTAAGTGCAACTGATGGAACATGTGTTCCTTGTTATGACTAATCACAGGAAGATTAAGAATAATAAAACAATTCTGCTGAAACGTTGCACAAAAGAATGATAGGCAGTCATTTTGGTGTCACCCGCTGATAGTGCCACCTAGCCACCACTCCACACCCTTTCCTCTAAAGCGTGTGTCCACCTTCTAGGATCAGACTAGCCTAAGTGGGAGTTTTCTGGTTTTTTCTTTTTTCCCCCACCCACCACCCTCCCTCCTCACTTCCCTTTCCCTTCCCTCTCTTCCACACCCTCAGCCCTGGCCTAATCCATGTCTTCAGTCTTTTCCTTTGGTGAGAAAACCATTTTTATTTATTTTTTCTCCCTTTTCATCATAATGGTGCCATAAACTATCTATCTTTATGAGATTGACTAACTGACGGACATGATACTTTCCAATTTTGTCCAAGTCATGAGGTGTTTGACAGACTCCATTGTTTTTTTAAGGGATGCGTAATTCATACCAGAGTTTCTTTATCATTCTCTGCAGACTGGGTTTTTGCTCTGAAAGAACTTGCTGTGGTAAATATGGGTGTGCATATGTCTGTGTTCTGACTTTATTTCTTCAGCGATGTCCCCAGTAGAGAGTAGAGTGCGGGATTCGAATGTGTTGTTATTTGCATTTGTTTAAAGAAACACCTTACTGCTTTCAGTGGACGTTTTTTTAAGCTCTCAGCAACAGTTTCCTTACCCAGAAGTATCGGTGATCAGAATACCCACAACATGGTGTTAGGGTTTCGTGAGTGCCTAACACAGGACCTGACACATAGTACATGATCAGATATGAGTTTATTATTGATAGATTCACACCGTTGTTTGGGGGAGACTGATTTTTTGGAACCTTTTTCTCTGTTGCTAAGTAAGGAAGAAGTAAACAGGATGTTCTTAGAAACGAGGGTGGCAAGACTTCATCTCATATGCTTTGCTCATGCTATCGGGAAGGACCAATCCCTAGGGACAGACATCATGCTTCAGAAAGGAGAGGGTCAGAACCATTGGAAGGCCCTCCATGAGATGTATTGACGCGGGGTTGCAACAATGGGCTCAAACATGGCAAAGATTGTAAGGTTGGTGCAGGACTGGGCAGTGTTTGTCCTGTTGCACAAAGGGGTGCTGTGGGAAGGGTTGCTATGAGTTGGAACTCACGCAAGGCCCAGAGTAGCAGGGCCATGCCCTGGTGGTGCTGTGGGGTAAGCATCAGGCTGCCAATCTCAAAGTCAGTTGTACAAACTCACTGGCCATCCTGAGGGAGAAAGATGAGGCTTTTTGCTCCCATAATGATTGAAGGTCTCGGAACCCCAATACAGTTATTATTGAGTCAGAATCAACACCATGGCAGTGGGTTTGTTGATCTGTTGGTTTGTTTTGGGAGCTTCACAGGACAAAGAGTCAGTGTGCCACAGACAGATTGCATCCTTTGCTTCAGCAGAACTGATTTGGGCTCCTTACTGTCCTTCCTACACTGGGTAGGACACAGTTCTTGGGTCACAAATGAATCAAACGTTAACAACCTAATTGAGATCTTCATACCTGAGGTCATTCAGAAGTCCAGAAAGAGTTTTTTCCCCACCCATTATTCTTGGAAGAACTTTATAAGAACCTTCTTAGGGTTGCAAATTTAAAGCATCTTGAACCTGTGGGGTGGGGGTGGGGGCTTCAAAAAGCTTATGGGAAAATTCCATGATCTTTCAATTCCATTGATTAGCATTGAGACCTCACCAGTGGAAATTTGCGCATATATATATATATATATATATAAGTTTTGTTTTGTTTTGTTTTAACTTATATTTTCATATCTGGAGATACTGTGTCTACTCTTAACTTGGGAAATTACAGTAGCTGTATGAGATTGGCTAGAGCTTGTTATCTAACGAGTTAATAAAGAGGCACATAGGCTCCTCGGCACAGATGGGGTAAAATTGTTTTTCACTGTTCTTGACTTCCTTTGTAATCTTATATATTCCATGTCTTTAAAAACGTTCTGATAAGGGTATATAGGCTTTACAAGGCTTATAAAGGGGTCCATAGCACATACACAAAATATTGGGAACCCTGTAGCTTAAGAAAGTAAACTGATTTTTAAAGTAAGTTGAGTCTTTGGGTAACTGAACAAAGTCTTTGAAGACTGATGCCTTTTGTGAGAGATGGAGTTCCCCTGGTGTTGGTATGAGTCATGCATCCCTGGGCTTTCTTCCTGCTCCAGCGGAAGATGAGGCTTTCTACTCCCCTAAAGATTGGCAGCCTGAGAGAGTCAAAGAGGCGGCTCTGCCCTGTCTGACAGGGTCGCTGAGATAGAACCGACTCCTTGGCAGTAAGCCTTTGGATGTGTGCTTGTTGGGCTTTGAGTAAATAGCATTTAAAATTAACGGAACGTGTGGGCTCCTCTGAAGAGCTCAAAGGACAGAGACTGGTCCTCCACAGTCTGGCTTGGGGAGAAGAAACATAGGGGGGGTGCAGTTGAGTTCTCGGGGTTCATGGGAACAAAAAGAACATGCCGCCCTGGTAGGGGCTGTGAAGGGGGGCTCTGACTGAACCATGGGAAAGTGTTGGAGCAACTCCCAAACCAAGAGTTACCATGTTTTCTTGGTCAAGGGGACCCTCCTGTAGAGCCCTTTGTCCTGATGATACCCCCATATTGAAACGCTGGTATTGTTTCCACAGAACTGTCTGGCCTTTAGCTCTTCAGCCTTGGTTAAGGAAATGACCAATCAGGTAAGGCCTGTGGCAAGAGGACAAATTACATTTAGTCTCTTCTTTGACAAGTTTGAGTCCATTGGGTTGATCATGTGCTTCTTTGCTCCTAAAGATCTGGGTGGCCCGGGGCACCTGGCCCTCCCAGGCCAAGGTGGCACTAGTAAAGTGCACAGTACAGTAGGTGACACAGAGGCCAAGTGCTCAGCTGCTAACTCTGAGGTCAGTGGATGGAACCCACCAGCAGCTCCTTTCAGACTGCTGTGACAGCCTGTTCCTGGCCCTGCAAACCCGGCGGAGCAGTCTCCCCGCAGGCTCCCCTCGAACTGGAATTGATGGCACACAGCAGCAGCAGCAGTAGGGATCTTTGATCTGTGTCTCAGCTGCAGTGTGGAGCTCTGGGGGCGTAGTGGTTACACGTTGGGCTGCTAACCACAAGGTCAGCAGTGTGAAATCACCAGTGGCTCCTAGGGAGAAAGACGAGGCTCTCCACTCCCATAGACTTGGAGCCCTGGAAACTCAGGCGCAGTTCTACTCTGTCCTACAGGGTCGCTAGGAGTCGGACTTGGCTCCACAGCCGGGAGTTTGGTTTTTGTTTACCACAATTTATAGAGGAGTTGAGGAAGCTTAAGATGATTTGTTTACAAAATAGTAATAATAAATTATCAAGGGTTCTTCGTAAGGGAGTGGGGCGGGGAGGGGAAAAAATGAGGAGCTGATACCAAGGGCTCAAGTAGAAATAAAATGTTTGGAGAATGATGATGGCAACAAATGTGCATAACACAATGGATGTGTGTATGGATTGTGGTAAGAGTTGTACGAGCCCCCAATAAAATGATTTAAAAATAAATTTAAAATAAAAGTAGTACTTTGTTTAAAAAATGAACAGATGAGAAAAGAAAATGGTACAGGAGAAATAAAACAGGTTTGGGCTTCGTGGCCTTATATGGCTATGAAAATTACCCTGTGAATGACCCTGAGCTTCCTGGTGGTCAGAGCAGAAAAGGAAAGCAGAATTAACATGGGGGGGTGGTGTCAGGCAGCTGCACAGCAGGGACGGGGAGGAAGTGCTTCTTCAAGCACTGGCTGGTTTCTGATATCAGTCTCTTACTCTTGGTTGAGCAGGAGTCTTGGAGCTTTCGGGAGGAGCTGGGGAAGTAGTTTATACTGTAGTGACTAAATCTCGGGGGTGGGGGTGCTTTGTGGAGTGTGGTGGGGCGGGAATACGGGAACGCTAACCATGGTTTAATGTAGCTTCTATTCTTTATTTCAGTACGGCATTCTCTTCAAACAGGAACAAGGTAAGCAGCCTGCCTACTATAGTGATTTCACCTATGAAAACGGGGTTGCTCGTGGTTCCTTTAAAGCTATCTTGCTGCCCCAGGCACACAGCTCCTCAGTAAGTATTAAGTATACTTAATTGACAGAAGGACTGGCTGAAGCAGCCAACAAGAGACCCACTCAAAGAGAGGACCGAAAATTGAACAACTAACTGAAAAGCGAAACCTAGGAGTCAGGTGGCAGGCCGGGAGCAGCCCACCGCTGAGGAAAGCTGCCCAACTGAGGAAAAACTGTCTCTCTGCTCTTCCCAGCTGCCCAGGGCAAAGAGGAGTTGCATCGAGCCTTAGAGCTGTGTTTGCCTGCTCATGTGAGGAGGGGCCCTGGGCCTGACCCTGAGCTCTCACTGCCTGGGGACCCAGGGGATGACAGGGTCTTTTCCTCACAACAATTGCAAAGACTCCCAGCATATGTGGGGGAGGGCACAGGCGCCGTGCGACAGCAGTAGTGACAAGTGGAGCAGGAAGCAGCCCATAGTTCAGCCTGGGAACCGTATAGCCCATGACGCTTCAGATCTGAAAAGGAGCAGATGAGTGCGTAGACTATACAAACCAGGCTTGTTTCTTTACCTGGATGAGTTAGGGAAAGCCTGGAGGCATCTGGAATACCTCACAGAGCTCTCGCTCCAGAAGCATGTTGGTAGACTAAAATTTAAGCCAAGCACATTCTTCCAAGTGCACTAGTGTAAGTAACTAATAGGCATAGCGGTCAACTAGCATAGGTAGCTAAAACCGTCCAGATAGCCGACTCAGGTCACCATAGTGACCAGGTGGGATGGTCATGGAAGCCATGGATGTGTGTGTAACTCGGGGCTGTGGAAGTTCTGTTTCCATGCCATCGAGTTGATCTGACTCCCGGCCACCCTAAAGGCCAGTATAGAATGCCCCCCACTGTGGTCTCCTAGGCTATAATCTATGGGAGCTGATTGCTATGTCATTGTTGCTGAGGAGTGGCCAGTGAGTTTGAACTGCCAATTTTTAGGTTAGGTAGAGTGTTTAACCATTGCATCGCCCGGGCTCCATGTTGCTGATGTCGATGCGTTGGGCGCCTTTCTAGTCAGAGTTTGGAAAAGTGGCCCTTGGGCATTGCTTCCCTATCTGAAGAAAGCCACCCTGTGCACTGGCCACCTGTGTGTGCCCACCCGGGTCTGCAGGCCCACCAGAGATGGGGCGTGCAGAATCAGATAATTAGAGGGATTGGGTGTGAGTCCTAGCACTTTCCTGTTCTAGCTTTATGACTGTGAGTGAACTGTGTAAGCTTTGAGTTCCTTGTCTGCAAAAAGGATTGATATTAATGGTATCCACTCTACAGGGTGGTTGTGATTGAAAGGCTTGTAGAAAGATTGATATGCTACTGACTATGAAGGAGGTACCCCCCAAAAAACAGAATTGCGCTGAGTGGAGCAGAGCTATCGTTGTATGCATTTTTCACTCAGGGCAAACATCAAGCGACTCGTTCTGAGTTAGCGCACCCAGTGGCATCGCCTAGGAAGGTTCTCTCTGGTCACAGTGAATTTTTTCATAAAAGCACCTTCACTCAAACCTTGTTTTTTTGTGATGGCCGATTTAAGAGCACAGCGTGCTGCTGTGAAATTTTGTTTCTTGCTCGGGGAAGTGCCGCAGAGACTCGTATGAAGTTAAACACAGCTTAGAGGAACAGTGCTATGGGGAAAACTCAAGTGTACGAGTGGTTTTTCTCATTTCAAAAGTGAAATGTCCAGAGATGGGAAACCTTGTTCTGGACATCAGTCAACTTCCTGAGCGGACAAAAAAGTCAACTTGTGGTGCATTTGGAGTTTGTTCCACCAGGTCAGAGGTTTTAAAAAGATTGTGTAACAGTGTGTGACAGAAGCCAGATTTGTGGCAGATGGACTGGTTTTGCCATCACGACTGTGCACCTGCTCATGCAGCCATCTCAGTGTGCCAGTTTTGGGCAAAATACAGCATACCTCTCTTGCCCCAGGCACCTTACTCACCTGACCTTGCTCCGTTTGACTTTTCTTTGTTTCCTCAAGTGAAGAGGGACATGAAAGGACAGTAATTTCACGATGTAGAAGAGGTGAAGAAAAAAACGAGGGATGTGCTGTCAGCCGTCCAAACAGATGAGTTTGAAAAATGTTCCCAAGAATGGAATCAGAGATTTGACAAATGTATTAAGTGTAATGGAGAGAGTACTTGGAAAGGTGATAGGTTCTTTTGTAAAAAATATTCAATACATAGCACTGAAAAAAAATGCCGTCTTTTGGTGCTCCCCCCTTGTACTCATTAAGCAGATTATATTTGTGGTAAAAAGCAACTCGTGCCATATTGGCTATGTATTGTTCGGTCTGCACCTGACCAGTCGGAGCCCTGATGGTATAGTGGGCTTACGAGTGAGCTGCTCTGTGGGAGAAAGATGCGGCGTGCTTCTCCTGTAGAGATGTACAGCCTCAGAAAGGCACAAGGGCAGTTTTACTCTGTCTTTTTGGGTCCCTATGAGTCAGAATTGACTCGGTGGCAGTGAGTTTGATTTGACCTACCTACTGGTTTCCAAAGGTCTCAAAGAGAAATCTCGTATCAAGTATAAATCTTTTTGCAGCGGGCCAGGGGCATCCTCGTGGATGGCGCTTATTTCTGTCGAGTGAAAGTGGTGCGTTCTAAGCTGCTGTGCAGTGGGGAGGCACACAAATAGGAAAACATGGAACGCGAAGGCTGAAGGTTTGAATTCCAGTGCTGCCTCCCCGCTTGGTACACATGGTTTGGGCTTGGGGCTGTCTTCAGAACCTCCGGCTTTCATGTGTCCCTGACAAATCCACTGCAAACTATGGGAAAATGTTTTGTAAAATGGATTCAAGTGGGTGTTAACCTTAGAATTGTTGGAACAGGCTTCATGCAGACTTCTAACATGAAACCCCTTCCATTCTAGCCCATGATGATGCCATCTGGTCAGTTGCCTGGGGGACCAACAGGAAAGAAAATTCAGAGACGGTGGTCACAGGCTCCCTGGATGACCTGGTGAAGGTCTGGAAATGGTAAGTGCCCTCTCCCCAACGGAACTCCACACCCACTGCTATTGAGTAGGTTCCAACTCAGAGCAACCCTTTAAGACAAGGTAGAACTGCCCTGTGGGTTTCTGAGCCTGTAAGTCTTCACGGGAGTGAAAAACCTCATCTTTCTCTCTGGCGGAGCGCCTAATGGGTTCATGGAACCCTTCCCCCGACCAGAGCTCCGCCACCAAATGTAGACTCAAGAATCCCCTTGTCCCTAGGCTCCCAAGTGGCGATCAGGAAAGCAGTGATGGTGTGGCAGTGTATAACTGCAGCTTATTAATATGAAAATCCCATCATTTAAAACAAGAAAGCCCCAAAGGTAAACCCTGGCTCTGGCGCTCCACCTCCTCGGATGCTGCCTTTCACAGAGCGTTAAGCCATCAGGCTCAAGGGGCAGATGCTAGGTCCATGCAGTGTTTTGTGTGTGACGCCCTCCCTTTGCTCTGTTCCCCATTGAAGGCATGAGGAGAGGCTGGACCTGCAGTGGAGTCTGGAGGGGCATCAGCTGGGGGTGGTGTCCGTGGACATCAGCAACACCCTGCCCATTGCCGCCTCCAGCTCTCTCGATGCGCACATTCGACTCTGGGACTTGGAAAATGGCAAACAGATAAAGTCTATAGACGCAGGACCTGGTAAGAGTGCTCCTTGTCGGGGAGATCATTTGTTATCCCTTGGGGAAGTCACGTCGACTTTTTTTTTTACATCTGAGAGGGGTCATAGAGGCACGGGCCTCACACAGGACCTTCAGAGGCATTGGGTACATGCTGATCAAACACTACAGCCAACTGCGTACTAGCTGATGTCAACAAAGCCCGAGGACGGCCTTCTCCCAACGTTGCTGCCAAGTGAATCTTGGTACTGCACTGGCGAGCGAACGGTTTCCTGGGCCTTTGGGGTTTCAGAATGGTCGGTTTGGGATTGTAGGCCTGTATGTGGATAGGCCAGAACTGCTCGGCTGTGTTCCAAATTGATGGTGGGCACTGATGTAATAGATGTCTAGTGAGCACAGCTCTGGGTGTCTCTGTCGTGGTGACCTCGGTGATTAGCGGGCCTGTTTTAAGGTGGCTGATATCAATCTGTTTAAACAAAATAAATCTTTGATACATGAATTGTTTTCTTTTAAAGTACTGCAGAGGGGGCCTGCTCTTACCCATCAGCCATGTGTGCATCCCCTGGAGTAATGAAAGTAGACACTGTCAGTGGGCTGGGTTAACGTGGGACGAACCGTGTGACACTGGAGGATTTCTGTAGCCTTACCAGGTCTCTGACAAGGTCGCTGAGTGGGACAACTCGCTGGCAGTGAGTTTGGGTATAAATAGACAGCCACAGTCCATCAGCAGTACTAAACTGTCCTGCTGTACTGGGCCATTACACAACAGACAGTAACGTAAGCACAGAACACAAGCAGACGTTGCTAATGGCAACGGCAGAGCGGCTGCGTGTGTTTGTGGGGACCCTTCCATGGGGGTCTGCAGTGCATAAGTAACACTTGGATGTAACTCTTGGCATTGACTGAGTTATGTAGTATAAATTAAAAACTAATTGCCTCTCCTTTTTAAAAACAAGGCCCCTTCCTAATCCTCATTCCCTATTAATTTGTGATAGTTTGTTTTCTAGTATATCCTCATTTTATTGAGATAAAATTTCACTATAAAATTCACCCGTTTCAAGTGTGTAAGTCAATGAATCCCCGTAGAGCTATACATTTGTGCCTCTCTCACTGCACTCAGTTTTGTAACCTCCCATATCCCTAAAAGTTCTTCATCCCCTTTAATACTCAACCCTTCCCTCCACTGTCAGCCTCAGGCAGCAGCCAGTGCTGCCCCTGTCGTTTCAGTCGTTTGTTTTCCTTATAAATGAAACCCTACGTTGTGTCTGCATTCTTTCTTTAGCCTGTTTTGGAGGTTGGTCCTCAAACGATCAGTGCCAGTAGCATTGCTGTGCATTGTATTACAAGAACCTCCCATACTCTGGTTTATTCATTCGCCGTTTGAGGGGCATGTGAGGGGAGAGCGTGGCCTGTAAGCTTTCACACACAGGTCTTTGCATGGGCGTGCGGTGTTGTTTCTCCGGGAGACCCGAGGAGTGGAGTTGCTGGTGTGTGTGTGTGTGTGTGTGTGTGTGTGTGTGTGTGTGTGTGTGTGTACACGTGTACGTGTACTGAAAGAAACCGCCAAGCGGTTTTCATGCCCATCAGCAATGGATAAACGCTCCAGCCTCTCTGGCTCCTCCCTGATACTTGCTCTTGTTGCACCGATTTCTATCAGAATATAAGATGCCCTGCTGAATTGGTAAAGTTGTCTTTAAAATTGCTGTTTTTAAATTGGTCAAATCTTTTTTTTTTTTTTTAATTGTCAAATCTTTTCTCACTGTATTTTTTTTCCTTTTTTCCTGTTCAGTGGATGCCTGGACTCTGGCCTTTTCTCCCGATTCCCAGTACCTGGCCACAGGAACTCACGTAGGGAAAGTGAACATTTTTGGCATGGAAAGTGGGAAAAAGGAATATTCTTTGGACACAAGAGGAAAATTCATCCTTAGTATAGCCTATGTAAGGGAATACTGGTTTTGCTCTCTGATTCTTTCGTTGACTGTCCCAAGCGGTTTTGCTTGTGGTCTCAATTGGGTTGGAAGCCAGCCGTGTACAGCCGGGCCCGGCGATGTGCTTGTTTGGTGGGCACAGGCGCCTGGCTTGGCATCACGGAGTCTCAGAGGGGCCACTTCTCCGTGTTCTCCGCTAGAGTCCTGACGGGAAGTACCTGGCCAGTGGAGCCATAGACGGCATCATCAACATTTTCGACATAGCCACCGGGAAACTTCTGCACACACTGGAAGGTACAGCTCACCCTTCGTTGCCTGCACACTGAGCACCTGATCCCAGAGGCAGAATGGCAGTTGCATGAAAAGTGCCATTAAATGGCAAACGAGCATTAGATGTGTAAGACGGCGTCCCTCCCAGTGGGACAGACCTTGACATCTGACTCTTGTCACTCATTGTAGATGTAACCTGGACACGTTAGTTGTTGTGCCAGGGTAACTGGAAAGCAAACCTTGCCCACCCCCCACCCCCATCCACGGGCCTGCTGATCCGAGCACCACACGAATGTCGTTGCCTCCTTCCAGTTCCTTCTGTGATCATCCTCTGTTGTCCCAGGTGGGACCGTATTCATGCTGCATAACCTAGGCTTTGACTGACCTCTCTTAATTGGGCAAGTCTCGGCGCATTCACCTGAAGCTGGGGGAGGCAAATATTTTGTACAGACGAAGCTAAGAATGACTTCTGCATATTTTAGGATTTGTTTAAGCACACACACAGTGACAACAATATGCAGTGAAGACTATGTGGCCTGAAAAGCCTAAGATTGTTACTTTCTGGCCTTTTACAGAAGAGGCTTCCTAACCCCCATTCTAAGGTAGTTCTTGTTAGGTGCTGCCAAGTTGGTGCCTGCTCATGGCAGCCCCAAACAAAACACTGCTAGGCCATGCTGCCGCCGCCACCAACACCACATTGCCTAATTATGGTTACCTAATAACCATCTAAGTGTACATTGCTTGGCCGGCTCTGCCATATTGGACTCCTGCTCTCTGTTTCATTTTTGCCAACTGATATAAGCATCCCACCATTGTATCCACCTGACTCTTGCCCTCAGATTGAGAAAAGACAGCCGCAGCACCTTATAGGACAGAGTAGAGCTCCCCCATGGGTTCTTCAGGCTGTAACTCTATGGGAGTAGAAAGCCTCCTCTTTATCCTGCGAGCGGCTGGTGGCTTTGAGCTGCTGACCTTGCAGCTAGGAGCCCAATGCTGACCCACTACTCCTACTCCACCAGGGCATCTCTTCCTAGGATCAGTTCATAGAAATGCATTCACTGGACTAAATAGTGTGAATCATTTTGTCACGGTAGCTGCCCAAGTTGGCATCCTGGGGCACAGTCCATGTGGCTGTGGAAGTCAGAGCAGGTTCCTTGTAAATCTGGCCCTGTTCTTAGGAACATCTTCCTCTGTGACTTTGTCTTCTGATTCTGAGGTTGGACGTCTCTGGATTTCTTTCCCATGAGTGTCCTTGTGTTTGGGTGTGTCTTTTGCCCAGGTGTCACACAGGCCTCTCTTTGTCTACCCTGTCTCTGAAATGTGGGGCCCACACAAATGAAGTAAAACATTTTCTATCCACTTGATAACCTATATCTTAAGTCATTGTACCCTGAGCAGCATGGGCAATCAGGGTACAGACGTGTTGATCTAATGTGCTAACACTTATAAATATCCACAGGGAAAACTAATCCCCACATATGATGCTGTGCCTGTCATTATCAAAGATTGAAGAGATTAATTACACACTGTGCTGGCGAGGGGCTGAGGACAGCACAGGCATGCTGGTGGGCGGTTGCGAACTTGGTACAGCAACTTCAGAACAATCTGGCTCTGCCTAATCAAGTGAAAAGTGAATCTCCGCTTTGGCCCCCACATTCTGCTGCTAAGAATGTATCCTGCCAATAGTCACACTTAGAGAACAACAAGCGGGAATTTAGTCATTGTTGGCATCACAATAGCAATGGATTAGCAGTGACCTGTCAGGTACACCCGTGCTAACATTGACAGTGGAAAGGGCAAGAGTGTCACAGAATGCATGGATTGGGTAGAGGAGAAACTTTTCAACAGAACCTAAGACAAATCCCAGAAGGCCCGGCACAAATCTGGAAAACACCAGCCATGTTCATAGATGGAACTCTGCCGACCATCCCAGAGGCCCCTATGACGATCAGTCCCACTCTTCTCCCCCTGATCCTGTCATCACGGAACTCCCTTACATTTTTTAATAGTTTCCTCTCGAACACACCACACTGGCCACTAGTTTAGTTTTACCCTCTTGTGGGTTTTTTTTAGATAGATTTCTTTTACCAGTTTCTCCTTGACAGTATAGTTTTTATTTATATAGGAAAAGCTATGTAGGGATTTGTATGTATGCAAAGCCTGTGGCTGGGAGGATATATAGGAGCCGGAAAACCCCGGCGAGTGCCTCTCGGGTGGAGGGCGCAGTGGGTGAAGCCAGTGCACAGGTAGATGAGCAGGCTGCAGCTTCCTCCGGTGGCTTTTGGATGATTTCTCTTCTCTCCACTGGCTGCATGACCGCCTCATTGTATCCTCTACTCGGCACTAGGTGATTTGGGAGGGAAAACAGCGTCCTGAAGCAATGTGTGTTTCCATGTTGGGTCTTGATTTGTAGCTGAGGAGTTTCTGAATTTCAGCAAAGTGAGCTAAGGCCCAGCTAGCTGGTCAGAAAGGCGAACTAAGGAGACATGGCTCCCCGGGGAAGGGCCACAGGCAGCCTATGGGTGTTTCCATAACAGTGGCAGGAGGGGCCCAGTCAGGATCTGCCCTTTTCTGGCGGGAGCACCTCGTGACTCAGGATGTTCAGGGGCTCCGTGCTGATGGAAGGCCGAGAGAGGCAATGGCGATCCGCCAGCTAACGGGCCTTTGTGCATTGCAGGCCACGCCATGCCCATTCGCTCGTTGACCTTCTCCCCGGATTCTCAGCTCCTCGTCACCGCTTCAGACGATGGCTACATCAAGATCTATGATGTGTAAGTGGCCTTGTCCTGATGAACACTGATGCCCACTGGGTCCCGACTTGTTAGCAGGCACCCTCATCTCGCCCTGGCGCTGAGTCTAGACTCTAGACCGCCTAGACTGGGCCGCCCTGGAGGAGGCTTGCACAGCTTGCCTGGTGATTCCAGGGCCTTGCTCCTCTGTCTCCGGCATCCTGCCTCTTGAGAGGCTGGCTGCTGTTTGCTTCTTGTGGGGAAGTGTCGCACTGGTGAGGACACGAGCCATGGGGTGTGGCTGGCCCAGGATGCCAGGAGAAAGGGGGACAGGACCACTCCAGACGGAGCCGCAGCCTCACGGCAGGCCTCACTGTGTCAGCTTGTTATTTCACGGCAGGGGGAGCAGTGTCCCTCTCATTAGACACTGTGAGGGTTCTCTTCTTGTGATTTGTCCTTGTCATCCTGGTCCCCATACTCTCTACTGTGCTGGGCAAGTGTCCGGAGCCATGCTGGGTGCCGCTACTCCTGTCCGTTCCCAAAGATGGACGCGCAGATGACCCTCCACCATGGGCTTCCTTGTGGCCGGGCTCTTTCCTGAGCCAGGTGGGGGTTTCCTGGAGGATGAGCCTGGGAGTAGTAACACCGCTCCTTTTAGCCTGCTGCTGACAGCTGTGGAGTGGCAAGAGTTACCAGGCAGACATGGCAATGGAGCTGGGTTTTGGGAGGCGCCTGTTGTAGCAGAGTAGCAGTTCTAAAGCAGCCTGGGCTCACACGTTGATTCACACACTTTGATGGAGGGTGAATATGGAGCAGTGGATTTGCCTCGGGGTGATGCGCTTTATACCCCTCCCTCACGTCCGACTGTATTCCTTTGCCCTGAGGCCACCTTTCCTGGTGTCTCTGCTGTTCCCAGGGTGCAGCAGCTGAGCTCAACATGACACCCATCAGACAGGCCCCTCATCACAGGCAGTTTGATTTTTTAAGCTAGTTGAAAGGGGCTGTAGTAATTGGACCAGTCCTGTACTTGGTTAGGTTACAAATGGGCTATGAAAGACACAGGGGTTTGAAATGAGGGCCTCTGGACACTTTCTTTGAACTTGAGGCACGGGAGACACTGGAGGTGGTGGTACAGGCCGGGAGCAGAGCCTGCCACTGCCCCTTGATGGTCTCTCCCCCTGCTGACTCTCAGTTCCCTCGCCTTAAGCCACCATACTGATTTTGAGCCTTTAAGCTCTGCGGCTGCTTATGGGTCTTATTCCCATTGAATGGGTAGAGTTAGCAATGGGCCTTCTGCTTTTGTGACTGCATCCCTGCCCCCCAAATTAACCTTTCGGTTTTGTTTGGAATATTCCCATTGCAGACAACATGCCAATTTAGCTGGCACGCTGAGTGGCCACGCATCCTGGGTGCTGAACGTGGCCTTCTGTCCTGATGACACTCACTTTGTCTCCAGGTACTGGGATTCCTGGCCACGCCTCAAATGCTAGCGAGCAGGCTGGGGTGGGTCATCTGGTACGGAGTGCCTTAACACTTGAAGACTGTGTGACCCTTTTCCTCTTTGGTCTCCTTTGGTTTTTATAGTGTGTTTTAGATTGATTGAAATAGTGAAATCAAGTAAAGAGTCCAGGTCTTTGTCCAAGTCTTCAGCTCGGACAAAGGTGGATTCTCTTGAACGGTGAAACTCTTAGCTTTGCCTTATCAAGGTAGGACTTCTGCCTGTGGTTTACTTTAAGGCAGTGGTTCTCAACCTTCCTAATGCCGCGCTGACCCTTTAATACGGTTCCTCATGTTGTAGTGACCCCCAACCATAAAAATATTTGTGTTGCTACTTCTTAACTGTAAGTTTACTACTGTTATGAACCATCATGTAAATATCTGATATGCAAGGTGAACTAGGCGACCCCTGTGAAAGGGTCATTCAACCCCCTAAAGGGGTCTCAACCCACAGGTTGAGAACTGCTGGTTTAAGGAGTCCCTGCGTTACCACAATAACTTAAAACCCTATAAGTCTGTTTCTAAATGTGCATTTAGATTCCAGTATTAGATGGTGGTGCTTTAAAACATGCACCGGTCAGATGGAAACCCTTTGCCGCGTGACTTCCAAAAGCCTCCTGAAAGCTTCTGTTGGAAGCATGAAAGGCCCATCTCATGTAGAAAGAGATAGATGTGTCTGAGACTCATGATAAGCCACCTAGTGGTGGCAACACCCTGGTCACCTCCGGAGACCCTGGGTGACGACTTGTGCATGTTGACCTGGAGTGGAGTGGGAGGGTGGGGCTCTCCTCTGGTAGGCAGGGCCAAGTTGGGTGAAACATAGAATTTTGGTCAGATTCCTTCTCGCGTACATAAAAAATGGCCTTCTAATCCTCATGTTCACTTTTTTATACAGTTCCTCTGACAAAAGTGTGAAAGTTTGGGATGTTGGCACGAGGACTTGCATCCACACCTTCTTTGATCACCAGGATCAGGTATGGCCTAGCATTTAAATTCCTCTGGCTTTGGGTCGCTTGGATCACCGACCATAGGGGCCGGAGCTCTTTCCTTAGCCTGGCTGCTCACTTGTCGAGGCTGGCAGACCCTGGGGCTGTGAGTGGCCGGTTCTCTGGGCTGCTGTCTGCACGCAGAGCTGGCAGATGCCGCCAGCCAGAAGGTCCCTGTGCCCAGAGCCTGCAGATACATGTCTGCTTTGGGAAATTTGGCAGCCGGTGCCTATAGCTGGTGCTGTAAGGACCTCCCTGCCCGGCAGCTGCATTGCCCACTGCCGTCCATTCAATTCCAACTCAGTGACCCTATAGGACAGAGAAGAATTGTTTTGTGGTTTCCAGACTATATATATTTTGGGGGGAGGGGATGGGGAGGGAGACACTACTACATCTTTATGGGAACCAAGAGCTTCATCTTTTTCCCTGTGGTTACACGGCTCTTTTTCATGTCCTGGAAGTATGACAGTCCTTAAAGTGTTGGGCTTTCTGCTAAACACTGCCCATGGCGGGATCAAGTAGCTGGTTGATAGTTTCTTAGGATGATCCTCTTTAGAAAGCGTCTCAAAGTTAACGTAACCCTCAACTGTTTGGGTGAGCATGAAACAGCTAGAACAGAAATCAGAATGCTGACACAGTGTGTGTGAAGAATGCAATGTAATTAGCAGTGTCACTGATCATTATACCGATCATTATGTTTAGAAACGAATGGGCTGTGTATCTTTTTACACACACACACACACACACACACACACACAGTGTCTCCCTGGTGAGACTCCAACAAGGAAGCAGTTGGCTCTGATGGTGCTCACGTAGCAGATAAAATAAGCACTCCATGTCAGGCCGCCCAGCATCTTAGCGCTGCCAGGCTCCACTGGGTTCCAGCAGTCAAGTGAGAATTACAGACAGCAGGCGGGAATGCAAGGAGGTCGCTGAGGATCAGTTAGCAACTGTCCCTGTCCTCAGTGACCTCGGGGCAGCTGTGAGTGAGGCCTTTTCTTCCTGGAAATAAAAAGGCGAGCACACACTGGTCCCTTGTGTGTTCCACCTGCACGCTGTTAGGCCACCCCATGGATTCTGAGCCTTTGATAGCTTGATTCGTGAGAAGTGACATTTGATTAGGGGTTATAAATGGAGTTGATTCCACTTCACAGAAAATAGGATTTCTGACACTAAGAGCTTCATGGACTGCTTCATCTTTCTCCCCAGGATCAGATGGTGGGTTTGAACAGCCAACCTTGCGATTTGCAGTCAAACACCTAACCTACAGTGTCTCCAGGGTTCCTGAGGGGACGGGACCAAAACCCCGAACTCAAATGTACTGCCATCAAGTCATTCCAGACCCATAGCAACCCCGTGTCGGGTGTCCGCGGCAGGCTGTCATCTTCACAGGAGCTGACAGACTCCCTTTCTCTCACAGAGCTGCGGGTGGGTTTGAACCACTGCTCCTGTGATCAGCGGTTCAGTTCATAGCCCACTGCACCTCCAGGGCACCGAGGGGAAGAGGGAAGGGAAGGGCGTGATAAACAGCAATGGAAAACTCCTGACTGAAGACAGAGCCTCTCTTCCTGATTCTGAAAGGACCGGAACCCCCGCCACCCCCCCACCCCCCCTTGGGGCAGTGTTTCTAGATGCAGCAGCATGCAAACGTGAACATCCTTGCGCAGTCACTCATTCATACGTCTTGTTCCTCTTATTTACAGGTCTGGGGAGTAAAGTACAATGGAAATGGTTCAAAAATTGTGTCAGTTGGGGATGACCAGGAAATTCACATCTATGATTGTCCAATTTAAATGGCAGTCTCCAGGCCACTGCTGCACCGAGAACGTGGACTGATCGTGTGACATTCCTTACCGTTTCGGGCTTGTTTACAGGAAAGGGGAGTATCTGTTGTAGTAAAAGCTTCAATTTTGTAGATAATATATATCTTTCCGTGTTCATGGGAATGGCTGTTCATACCTTAGCATATTTTCTTAATGCAAACACCTGGGTTGTTGTGGAACATGCTTGTTTTCATGACCCTGCACTGGAAGAATTGAGAGAGACTTGGCACCACGTCAAAGTGGACTGTCTTCCTTGGAGGTGGAGAGAGCCAGGCACTGACAGGCTACCTGGGAATGCAGCAGCCAGCTCCCGGGAGCTGAGACCCAGAAACCCTAGCCTCTTTCAGAATTTGAGCCTGAGTATTTGCGAGGGAATGGTCTGTGGTCCTACCTTTCTCTTACAGCCTGTGTGTATTAAAACATCCCCTGCCACATCCTTCGTGTTCATCTCCACGTTGTCTTGCTCCCTGGGCGATGCTGGAGGGTGGCGGGCTGCCCTGCTTCCTTAGGCTCTTGGACTGTGCCTGGTAGCCACTGAGGTCCGCCCTGTTATCCCGGTGTCTGCACTGCCATTTTCCCGAGTCTTCTCTGCCACAGCCTGGCTCCTCGCTGAGTGCAGTCTCGGGAGCTACCATTCCCCCACAAACCACGCTGCCCTTTCCTCTGCGTGGAAAGTCCCTCTGACCTTCGGCACGCACTGCATTTGGGCCGTCAATCAGGTGCTTTCTGTAGTGGGCTTCCTCTACTTTTTCCTCATGGCACGTCCTGAGACGTGCACTCACCTACATCCCCAACTGTGAACTCCCTGGAGGTGGGAACGACGCCATTGCATCCGTAGGAGTGAAGGCAAGCTGGCTCTGAACTCTGAGCTCTCCAAAAAGAAAGGCAAAGCCATTCGTCTCTCATACCAGCTCAATTTTATTTTTGAAGTGACAAATGACAGGTGGATAAATTTGAGCAACACCCTCCCCTCCCCATTCGTGTACAGAAGGAAGGAGCTGAATGTCCTTTTGCTCCGGTACCAAACGGTAGTGCTGTAACAAGAATTCATTGGGGAGTCACAGCACAGAAATGACACCCTGGAGCTGTGGTGGACGGGGTTTGATGGTCATCCTGACCAGTGGTCAGAGCAGGAGCAGGAGGTTTTTCCATTCTTTGTCAGCAGCTGCAGCTACTAGCTGGCAATGTTCTGTTGGAACCTGGTCCATCCAGCTGGCTCCCCCTACCTGCTGTCAGTCTGGTCTGGCCTTTGACCTTCCCGGCTCAGGTCGGCTCAGGTCCCTTGCTCTAAGTCAAACGCTTTAGCCAAGTTAGGGTCGACCTGACAGGTGGTCTCTGCTTTCACTCAGCAGGCTAGAAGGTAGCAGGTGACCTTCATATGGAGTGTGGGAAGGGAGAATAGTGACTCGTGGTTGAGGGAAAACCGAGATTCAAGTGGGAGTCCACCTGCCACGACCAATCTCCCTCCAACAAGGCGGCAGACCGTGCGTGCGTGGGAGAAGCTCGTTCTAGTGGCATTCTGTCACTTTGTCTACATCACCTCATGGCTGGGCAACAGGGAGAGGAGCGCTGAGACACGCTGCCCTCCCAGACCCTCCAGTCACGCGGGCTCACTGGCCAGGCGGGGGCTGAGCCACCGGTACGGCCCATGGCTTCTCACACTGAAGCTACAGGGGGCATGGAGTCTAGTTTTGCTTTACAAGCAAGCACTTTGGTGGGAGAGCACTGCAAAACATATCAACAGAAAGTGACAACAAAGTATGGGGCAGGGGGCTGTCACAGGCAAAACAGTTACCTCTGCACATCACTTGAAACACTGGTCCTCACAAGGCGTGGGAGGTCCCTGAACTTTCCAAGGGAAATGATCAGAACACAGCCTGTTCCAGCCACTCAGACAGTGGGAACTGGTGGCCCTGCGACCCGGGGACAGGTAAGCTTTTGTCCTTCAGGGTGCGCCAGGCGTCTAGATTCTGAAACGTAGCAGCCCTGAGAGCGTGTCCTCGGGACCAGGAAGGGGGCATAGACCTACCCCGGTGTGTGTGAGGGGGTGTGCCTCGCCGGGGAGGGGAGGCGGCCACATGGGTTGGGCTTTCCTGGCAGACAGGAATTATGCAAAGCCACTAGAAGCACAAAGTTTCGGTTCGGCCCCAGACACCTGGGAAGAACATCCTGAACGTGTAAATGAACAGATTCCATTTGCAGACTAGAGATGATTGACACTTAAAACATTTAAATATAAATTAAGCTATAACTTAAGTTACAACCAGAAGGAAAACCAAAAAAGACACGCAGCAGTTGAGAATGCTGAACACATACACAGGACACCCCAAACGCGAGGCCATTTTCATTGTGCCACCTCTACATCCACCCTGTGTCAGGCCGTCTGGCACTGCACTCCGGCCCGGGGCCCGTCGTCGTCCTCCTCGTAGGCCTCCCTGTGTTGGCGCCAGTTGTGCTCGTTGGGACTGAACTCCATCAGCTCCACCTGATCCATGTCGTCTGCGATCTTCACTTTCTGTCGAGGGGGGAGCAAGGCTTCCAGCTGAGGAAGCTTTTCTGGAGGCAGCCACTGCTGCTCCGGGAAGAGCACCTGCAAAGGCGAGGCGGCAAGAAGGGTGCTTGGTTGGTTTCCGAGGGACAGCCTCGCTCGGGCCTGTCCCGGGGGAGGAGCGCAGTGGACTTACTAAGAACTGTATGATCAGAGTCCCCTTTTCCAGGGGAGCTTTGTAGATGGGCATCCCTTCGTTGCGCACACATTTCAGGTCCCCGTGCTTGATCACCTCACCTGGTAAAGGAAAAGGCTTGGTTCTGCGTCAGGTACAAAACAGGAAGACGCAGTGACCTGGAGCACGGGGGTCAGTGCCCCCATGAGAACTGGGCAAAGGGCAGTATAACTCAGCAGCATCTGAATGGAGAGCGGGTCCCTGTCAGGGCCAGGGGCTCAGTGAAGGGCTGGAGGCGAAGCTCCAGCAGGGAGGCGGCGGCCTGCTGAGCACGTAGGCCCTGTGCCCCACTTGACTCCCATTACAAAGTGAGCTAGTTTCAACAAGGGAACCCAGAGTCCGAAAACCCACGTCTCCTACCCGTCCTGCCTGCTGCTTCTCCAGGGGAGTCTGCATCTCACACACTCCCTGAGCTTGGAACTGCAGCAGGCCCCAAAGGAGCCCCCCAGTGCCCCCTGTGGGGAACACCTGCAGCAACACCAGCTTCCCCAGGCAGTGGCTGTTCTAGTTGAGACTCATCACGCTGCAGCGTGTGCGACTTGAACAATTACACCCCTGCTACTTCCAAAAGGAGGCTCCAGCAGTTAGTTCCCCCTGCCTCAACCGCCCCGCCCTCACCTCCAACCTCCTCTAGGACAGCGCTTCTCAACCTGTGGCTCGAGCCCCCTTTGGAGGTGTAATGCCCCTTTCACAGGGGCCGCCCGATACATAAAGTAGCAAAAGGACAGTTCTGAAGTAGCAACGAAAATAATGTCATGGTCACAGCCTTAAGAAGGTTGAGAGCCACTGCTCCAGGGGCAGGAAAGGAGACAACGGGGTCTCGGAAAAGTTATGTTTGTTCAACTCAGTGAGCAAAGTGAGAAATGTTACTTACAAAAAAATAGGTGGAGCACAGATAAAGGGGAGGTAAAAGCTAAAAACGCATTTACCCAGCAGCCCCCACTCTGGGAAAAATGCTCTTCTACAAAGGGGCCTATTCAGAGTAAAATCTCTTCAAGAGGAGTCTGCAAGCACATGAAGTGAGCTTTTGAAAATAAAGCGCATGGGTGATTCCCTGGGGACATCATGTACGTGACGGTGACAAGATGGGCACTCAGCCCACTGGGTGTGCGGGACTGGACCTAGGAGGTGAGGCTGTCTGCTCTTTGCCTTTTCAAATAGTTTTTCTGGCTCCTCCGTTCCTATCAGAGACCACCTCCCGTTTGCTCTCAAGAATTTTCCTGTTTCCATGGAAAGGTGGGGAGTTTGGGAGCATTTTGAGACCATGCATGAGAAGCCTGGTCTCAAGGAAGAGAAGAGGAATGAGGCAGATATCTGTCCTCCGCCGGGTCCCCTTTTTCATGACCCTTAGCACCGCTAGGGCACCACGGCCATCTGCAGGGAAGGCACCTCCATAGCTAAGAATGGAGGAAGAGAAGCGTAGAAATGGAGGAAGGGGAAATGACAGGAGTGGAGGAGGAAAGAGGACACAAAGTATAAATGTGAAAAAAGAAAAAGCAGAGATTAAATCTCCCACAGAGCTGAATGGAATGGAACTGTAAGGAAGATGTTTTATTTCCACATGTCCATGAAAATGCTGCATATTTTTAAGTGCTTTCCTCCAGTTCTCACAGTTACAAATATGGGCTCATTAGGGTGCCTGGCCCACCGGGGAAGTGGCCCAAGTGGCCACTCTCTTTCCTCTGGGCTCCGCTCCTTCCTCTGTCCTCATTCTGCCATTAGACCCCAGGGTCAGCTGAGAAGCAATGAGGCAGGCGGGGCTCCTGGGGCAGGACTCTGCCTAGGGAACTTGACCTCGATGCTCAAGATCTCAAATCTCCTGTCCTTGGCCAAGGATGAGGTTGCTCAAAGAAGTTGCATACAACTGCTGCCAGCCCCACTCTGACATGTGACGGCCTGTTTGCAGTGACGATGGTGGAGTCACTGATACAATGCCAGGGGGTGTTGGTGCCTGCTCACGACCAGTGGGCTGGGGTTTGTGCTTCTCCAGCCTCGATTTCTGGAGTCAGGGGGTTGGTACCTGCTTTACGGAACAGAGCTTTGAGGAAGGTGTTTAACTTCCACATCTGCATGCACATTTTGCACAAGTTTCCTGATTTCCCAAGTATACATACAGCTAATAAAGAAGCAAATGGGCAACAACACAGAGGGCAAGGAAGGTAAAAGGGTATATATGGTTACTTCTTGTTACTTCCTGTTTTGTTACATATATTGTGTTCTTTTATATGTTACTTCACGGGCTGGTAAAAAATGAAAATGTTAAATAACTCTGATTAAGGTTTGGCTACGTAATTCCACTTGAAGTGATGGCTCAGTAATGGAGGAAACAGAAAGACAGAAGTGGGGCAGAGAACACAGCCAAGGAGAGGCTGCCAGAAGAGATGCACAGGCCTGCAGGGAGCAGAGGCCTGGAGGCTGGTCAGGAGGCCAGGTGGCACCGGGGTCTGCTCACTCCATTGGTCTTATCACCAGGCAGCATTGCCCCTGGGCGGGCTTATCTCCCACTCAGGCCTGAACATGGCTCTCACAGGGCAAGTCACTCCCTGCCCCTGTGGCCTGTGAGGCGAGGAGCGCAATGCTGCCCTCGGCCAGTGGTGAGGCCCACGGGCCTGAGGCTTAGCCAGCTTGTCCAGACACAGACAGCAGCCTTTTCTCTTTGCGAAGTAAGGCGTTATTCAGACACAGCTTCCGTCAAGTTCCCTGCCTGCTTTATTTTCTTTCCCAACATAACTGCCCTTCCCCTCACCCCTTCTCAGCAGGTGCTCTGGGCCTGCAGGATGTTCAACTGCATAAAGACCAACTATCCTGAGAGCTGGGAGCCCACAATCCCCACAGGTACCCAACCTGCCGAGGGCTCAGGCCTCTGGGGACCCTTCTAGACTCAAAGGCAGTTTCCTCGGGCAGTCCCTTCCAGATCAAGGGGGGAGTGGGTGTAGATGCGAGGGGCTGCAGACAAGGGCAGATCGTGTGGGAGCCTCCAGGAATACACTGACAGGCAATGTCTCCCCCTACCTTCTGGAAAATTCTATGCTAAAACATTTCTCATGTATGATTGGCAACTCAAAGGCTGGATGAACATATGAATTAGTACAGAGCACCACATCATGGGAAATATGAATTCTTAAAAACAAAGTTAGCAGACCCAGTTAAAATTTTAGATGCCCCAGGAATCTTGAGGCTCTTCACTGCCTCAAATGTAAAGTATCAAAGAAACTTACCCAACATTAGCGATGATTAAATTAAGAGAAGAAAAAAAACCCCAAGTCTCCATAGCTTAGGCCATGGAAGGCAATGTAAGCGTGAGGCCAGGCCACCTTGCCAGTACAGTCCAGCCAGACGGGCACCGTGGGAGCACGCCCTGCAAGCTCACCTGACTTGGAGGCGATGACCAGGGTGCGGTCATCCAGGGTGCTTATCGTCTTCTTGAAGCCGCAAAGGGCCTCGGAGAGCTGAATTTTCATTTTCACGATCAAATCGTGGCCTTGTCTCTGAAAGACACTGTGATCCTTCTGATCGAGCACGATTATAACGTCGCCAGGCTCCAGCTCAGGCTCCTGGTCGCCTTCTCCATGAAACAGTATCTTCTGCCCGTCCTTCATACCTGTGGAACAGCATCCTTTCTGATTAGCGTGTCTCTCAAAACCCAGGCTTCCCGTAAAGCTTTTGAAGAAGAAACACAGAGTCCTGTGGGGGTCTCTCGTCAGCAAGCCTCCGAGCCTGACGGGGATGTGGGAAGGGAGCGGTGGCTGGGGATGTGGCTGACAGGCAGGGAACGCGCTGAACATGTGCAGAAGGGAACTCATAGCTACGACAACTGTCAGCGGGCACTGAAATGGGCAATAAAAGCTGTATTAGGAAGGTTCCAAAAGGCACCGCAGGAATGGCTGCCCGAGAATGGCAGGAGACGGCAATTCTGGAGGCTGAGGGTCAGGTTTTGGAGCACTGGAGAGCTTGAACAAGAGGCAGCTTTTAACCTCTACGGAGCTGCCCTCGGGGGAACATTGGCAGGGACCTGAGGCCAGGCAGGTCAACAGCAGGTGACTGGGGGAATCGCTGGCCCACTTTACTGTTGTAATGTGTCTTACTGCTACTGTCCAAAAGGTGTGTCCTGAGAGGCACCCCCAGGAGGGTTTTCAGGCAGAGCTGGCCCTGCACGCAGCCTCACCTTTTTCAACGTGCACCTCGATAAGCTTCTTCTCTCGGACCACCTTGGCGCCACTGCAGCCCTCGCAGCGGTCCCTGGGGTTGATGCGCTCGCCCTGGCCCTTGCACTCGATGCACACAGTCTGGATCTGCTGCACCATGCCCGGCCCGATCTGCTGAATGTGGATCTGCATGCCTCGCCCCTTGCACAGTGGGCACTTCTCCACGGAGCCCTTCTTCCCCCCGACACCTGCAGGGGGGCAGCAGGCAGAACACACTCACCCCTTGGACGTGGCTCTGCTGGGCGGCACCACAGGAGGGCCCGGAGTGTAAGTTCTGACTGCAGCATAAAAGCCGTCAGGACGCGCCTAGGTTACTCTGGGCAAGCAGACAACATCGAGATGTCCACATCGATACCGGGCATCTTCACCTATGGCTGTGCCGAGCCAAATTCATGACTTCATCTTTCCTTCGTCCCACTCCACGGGTGACGAAGACCCAGGAGCAAAGGTGACTGCGAAGGGCAGGGATGTACACAATTAGAGGACACAGCTCTAGCTACAGAGCTGGCTGCAAAGTCCAGGCAATTCTGTGAGGCAATGTGGACATTTTTTTTCTTGAAAAAAATCCCATTTTTAAAACTAGCAATTGATGTACGTCGGAGGTCAGTAAGCTGGTGTTGTGCATAAGTCTGAGTGGATACAGCCACAGCTGTTCATGTGCGAACTGGCCAAGGCTGCTTGTGTGCAAATTTGTGTTAACCACCAGTGACCGTATGGCCTGTAAAGCCCAGCTAGTTTATAGAATACAAATTGGCACCCCTGGCTTAGGGGCATCCTCTTGGTTTTTAAATGATTAAGGTAATTGTCAACAGATATGGATAAATGTATAACCCAACACAAACATCCCTTCAGGCAGATCTGACTCTCAATCCTTCTGCTTGAACTTCATACATGAAAAGATCATTTTTTCCCTGAATTAGAACCAGCCTTGTTTGGAGAGCTAAGGGATCAGAATTGTGAGATTCTTTTAAATTCATTTTACCTTCACATTTCTCACAAATTACATTTTTCTGGAGCGCCAATTTCTTTGTGACTCCATTATATAAATCTTCAAGAGTTACAGACAACTGATGTACAACATTCTTGCCTTATCAAGAAAAAACACACAGTTAGTCACAGAGCATCAACAATACCCCGACACTCAGTACCACCCTCCTCCCAATGATGCTCAGTCCACAAGTCTCTGCAGACTGGAAGCCTCGCCTGTCCATTTATTCCCACTCTCGGTCCAAGGGAAGCAATGCTTCTATTCTGCCGCCAGGGACAAGAACAAATATTCTCTCTAAGCGGTGAGGCAGTGATGCAATCATTTATAGCTGTCAACAACCTACATTTTCTGAGACCGAGTCAGGGGACAGGGAGCCCACCAGTTGAGAAACCCTACGGCCACGTAACGTCCCCCAAATGGGCTCCTTCCCCGTCAGCGGGGCCTTTCCTCGGAGACAACGTGTTCTCAGCCGGGCCCTGGGCCTCTTCCTTGGCACACTGCGCTTTACCACTGTGCTCCTGCAGCGAGGACATTGGGCATTTTGCCCTGGGCTGTGCCGCTGGGTCAGGACGGAGGCACCAGGCCCCTCACTGTGGCCACAGGACTCGCAGTCAGAAGACAAGCTGGCCTTGTGTGCCGGCTGTCTGCTGAGATGCCTTCATTAAGGGTGTGAAGCTGCTCATCTCCAGGGAGGGGGCAGGGCAGACAATACCCAGAGCTTCCTCACCTCCCCACTGTCAAGTAGACCCAGGCCACGGGGGTTGTTCCTAATAAACACCAGGACACTGTGTTCAGAGCTGACTCTTACAGTTTCGAAAGTCCAAGGTCAAGCATAATGTGAGAACGAGTATGGTCTCACACGTCTCAACTCCAAGCTCATTTGTTCTGATTTCGTCCAGAGCGGGAAGCAGCTTGACCATCTACTATTCAGGTCCAAGGGGGGGGTCTCAGCTGTCCGGGGTGCAGGCTGATGGAAACCAGTCAGAGGTGACTGCTTACATGTGGCAGGAGGTAAGAGGTAGACTATCTGGTTAAAAAAACACCCCAGAACTCAACATCGGAATGGCCGGGGCCCAAGCTTCTTCCCTGGGAAGGCCTGTCCTCACAAAGCTCTGAAGAGGCAGGTAGCGGGTCACTCTACAAAGATTCACAACATGAGGAAGTTTGTGATCTAGAAAACCTGAGCAGGCTGGGAAAATAAGATAGAGTGAATGTGGCAGGGGACCTAGTGGCGCTTGGGGGTGCCTGAAGGCCCCACTCAGGTGGAGGGAAAAGGAGCCCAGAGGGAGGCGGCTGGAAAAAGCCCAGGGCTTTCTCGGCTGTTGTCTTTACAGATGCAGACTGCCGGGCTTCTCCAGCAGCACTGCTGGCTGGATTCAAGCAGCCAACCTTTCAGTTAGTTGCTGGGCACAAACCGTGTGTGCCACGCAGAGACCTACCATTCAAATCCCTTAGGACACAGGTGCCTGGCCAAAACAGTAGAGAAAAAGAGGACAAACTGAACTTGACCTTCCTCTTCCCTCTCCACCACTCCCTCCACACCTGCATGGGTGGGAGGGTGTCAGGCACTGGCTGAATATGCAGCGATCCAAGGTAGCCAGGAGGCCAGAGAATAAAGGACAACTGGACATGAATGATCCTAATGTGTGGCAAGTGTGCCCTTTAAAGCCTGGCCTGCCCCGGTTCCCGCAACACCCACCGGCTATGGAAACATGAAACCTGCTTACGTTTAAGAGTATTTACCTCTTCTCTCTCTAGCCATCCGCCCTCCACCGCCAAAGAACATGTCGAAGATGTCCATGGGTGACGAGAAGTTGGGGCTGCCAGAGCCACCTTCTTTAATCGCCTGCTCCCCGCCCTGGTCATAAATGTCCCTTTTCTTTGGGTCTGACAGCACTTCGTATGCCTGGGATATGAGTTTAAACTTTAAGAGGAAAGAAGAAAGAGAGGCGGTTTGAGTTGTTTGATTAAAAGCAAACCCACTGCACGGCTGGGACACAGTCACCAGGAATCTGGTCCTGAGTCTCTCTCGACCCAGGACCTTCTGTTCCCATGTGCACTGTGAGCGGAGTGGAACTGCCCTTAATGGACTGGTGACAGGCACATGGCAGCGACCACGAAGCAGGAGGACAAGGAAGTTTCTCTAGAGACTGGCTGAAATGGGAAGAAGCCATGTTGGGCCAGGATGCACTGACAGGTGCCAGGGCTCAATCTACAGCCTCAGAAGGCACAGGCAGCCCTGGGGGTACCCCTGGTGATCACCTCATGGGGCCTCGCTTCTTTCCACAAGCAATTCGACTGCAAACAAGGTGTCAGACTTTATACATAAACCCCGACTCCCATTCCCGCCCCACAGTGACCTTCTTATCTGACCCCCCCTCGCCCCACCAGCTCCATTTCCTCCTGCCCTCAGCTCAGCGGCAGCAAGCCCCGTCACCTCTACCATCAAATGTCTTCGTCCCCTAAGACCCTACAGCTTCTGTGTGGCCTTCCTGCGAACCTCCAATCACAAGAAACCCTAAATCGAGGGGCCCAGACTCCTCAAAAATGTGTACTAGAGCGCAAATTCTGATGACAGTGAAAGTCCAAAATCCATTTTCAAAGTCCTCAGTGAAATTCCTGGGACCATTGACCAGGGATGTGAACAGTCTTACCCTTAGACAGCGTGCACTGGAAGGTGGACTACAGATACAATTTGTTAACAATGTAACATTTTTCATTTTTTTGACCCATTTTTAATTTGCACTAGTTTCTATTGTCTTCTGCTTTCACTTAGATTGAGGTTTTTCTGTTTTATCTTGTTGTTGCTGTTGGGGCTTTGTGTTGGATTCTCTTTATATGAAACCCAGGTTAGGTAAATTCATAGAGATGCAACTAGATTAATAGTTCCTTGGGGTTGTGGTCTTGAGAGGGGAAAGGGGAGCTAATAATAACGGATACAAAAATGAAAAAATGTTCAAAAATTGATGTGGTGATGATTACACAACTTTTAATACATTTAAACTACTGGGTTGCATGGTATGTGGATTATATGTCAATAAAACTTTAAATTTTTTTTTAAATGCCAGTGTCATGAAACACAAGATTAAAGGAGGCCAACAAGTAAACTAAATGCAATGTATGAGTCTCGGTTGGATCCCACACTGGGGAGGGAAAAAAAAGTTTAAACAGACATTAAGTTGTATGTTTCTCAATGTCAAAATTCTTGAACATGATAACCGTACTTTGGTGTTATAGATTAAATTGTGTGTGCACCCCACCCTCACCCCGACATCCACACAAAAAATGTGTCTAGTTGGCCAGGCCATGATTCTGAGTATCATATGAGGGACTTCAAAAAATTCATGGAAAATGGTATTAAAATAGAATGGACTATTTCCACAAATTTTCAGAAACATCTTGTTATGGTTACCTTCCATTTTGTGATCTGATGCAATGATCCTGGATGCTGTAAATCCTCATCTCTAAAATGTTAATGGGGCAAGATGAGAAGCAGTTATGTTCATGAGGCAAGATGCAAACAACAGGCCTAGGCTATGTTTTGAGTGAAGTCAAGCTTTGGGGGGATAGAAGAGAGATACACAAGTAAGCTGAGGAGGTGGGAGCTGACTACCATCAAGAAAGTAAAGCTGGAACAGAAAGTGTCCTTAGGACCCGGCTTCCCTGTGCTGAGAAGCTCCTAGGTCCAAAGCTGATGCCAAGACACAAGGAGATCTCCCAAGACCCCGGGCTCACTAACTTCGAAGAGAAAAAGCCTTCTCTCAGCCTTCCAGCCTGCTGAACCGCGGCGAGTGCTTTTGTTTGTTAAAGCCATCCACTCCTGTGGTAGCAGCACCAGGGAGCAGAGACATCTGGCCATGCACAAGGACGTGCTTGTTCCTGAAGGGCCGCCTGTGGCAGGAGGGAGGGCTGAAAGATGAAGATGTGAGCAACTTGCTCGCAAAAGCTTGAGCCAACAGGAAGAACAGTAGAAATCAATGACACAGCGCTCCCTCTGCCAGCACATAACTGAAAGTGGATGACAAAGAAGATTCGCATGGCCCTCGCACACAGGTGACACCCAAATTCCTGATGTGTCCCATTTTGGGGGTGGGTAACGGGGAGCCAACAACAATGAGTACAAGGCAGAAGAAACGTCCCGGAATTGATTGTGGTAATGGCTGTGTAACTCTTATGAAGGTGACTGAATTATTGAAATGTATGAGATGTGAATTATATGTCAATAGAACTCAAAAAAGAAAGAAATGGATAAAGAAAATACAGCAACGTACTTGCTCCTGGTGAATCATCTTTTCTATAGGTACAGATGTTTTAAAAATAAAATCAAGACACTAAAATACTCCAAATCTACCCTTTTTCACAGCTAGCATGCCTGCCCTGGCAAGGCCACCTGGTTAAGGAGCACCGCAGTGGCCTCCTCGCTGGTCTCCCAGTTCCTACCCCACCCTGGCTTTCCGTGTTCTCCACCCAATGACCAAACTCCCAAACTCCCCAAGGCGGCTCCTCTCATTCAGAGTCAAACCAGGCCTTATTCTGATCAACAAACCAATCTGACACCAGGCCTTCGCCTCCTCCTACATGTCCCCGCTCCCCATTGCCAGCTTCAGCATCCTCACTGCTGTTCCTCAGCTCCCCAGCATGCACTCTGGTCTGCACTGCTTCCCCGTCACTTCTTTCAGGCCTTTGCTCAAATGCTACCTTCTCAGGGAGGCTTCCCTCTGGATCTTGGTTTAAAGTTCCAACCCCACTCCCAGAAACTCCCTCTCGCCCTGCCTTAGTTCTCCCCACATGCCCAACCCCCAGCCGAGCGTGTCATTTCCTGCCTCTGCTGTCTGCCCCTCATGGCGCCCTCAGCACACTGATGGGGGCAAGAGATTTCATCAGCTTTGTCCATGGCTGGACGCCCATGTGCAGTGAAGGTGGTCAGTACATCTGTGTTCAAGGACTGGCTCCAGTTCTGGGGATACCCATGAAGAAGGGAGGCTCTGGACCCTCCCTGCAGTACAGTTGATATATAAATACCCTAGCATGCTGCCACTGGCTCCATGAATCCTACAGAGGGCCATGAAGAAATGACAAATACGGAGACAAACGACAGAGACAGGTTTTCTCTGACTCTACAGGTGTCTGAGCTAGGACGTAGCTAATAAGCCAGTTAGGGCTTTTGAAATGTTAATTCTCACATAATTTCTGCAAAGTATCATCCACTCCGACTACCCCCACCCTACCCCCCATTCCGCAATTGGAAAATTGAGATGTCAGAAGTCTAGGTTCCAGAATGGAAGATCAGAAAGGTCAGGCTGCTTCCCAAAATTTCCCGAGCTGTTGTTTGTAGGCCCGGGGTTAGGTATATCCGCTTCCTGAAACCCCAACTACCCCCGATACTCACAAGGTGCATGAACTTACAGGCATTCCATCACGGATGGAAAGGATGGTAGTGATATCCACAATCAGAGGCCAGATCTAGCACCACATCTAGGCTCCGAGTTAACTCCTGTGGGGTCTAGCCCACCTCTAGGGTCCCAGCATTCTAAGGCCTACCCCAGTCCTTTCTTTGCCCGCTTCTCACTGTTGGTTGGGGAGAGCAAAGCAGACGGTGTGAATCTGCTACAGACCCTCAGTGGATTATCCTGCAGCTGAGAAGTGGCTCTGAAGACTGTGGGAAAGAACTTGTGAGGAAAGAGTAGGTAGAGGGGAAAGTCTGGGTTCCAGCAGGCCCGGGACCATCCGGCAGGCAGGGCAGTGACAAAGAGTAGGCTGAAAAGTTCTGCAGTGCCACCCAATCCTTTTTTATATATTTAGGGGAAAATCCACCACCTCAAACTAAATGTTCACAGTGAACTTGACCAAAAGGCCAGACTCGCTTCAAAAGCTGGGTAGGGTAATGGCCAAGAATGCACTCCTGGCTCATGCTCTTGGAAGGGCCTGTGTGGCTTACCTGCCAGCCCTGTGTCTTACCGAAAGCCCGCTGCACACAAGGACAGGCTCCACAGAGCGTCCGGCGACAAACACGGGCTACTCAATGCTTAGCAACAGGGGACAACAGGGCAGAAAACAAAGACTGACACCCAACGGCCTTCTCAGTTGTCCTGGAACAAGAGGGAGAGGGCTAGCTTAATCTATTTTTGAAGCGACATTAATAATACAGTGACAAACGTAGGAGGGAGAAAAATAAGCTTAGGAGGGAAGGAAAAAACAGGTTCTACCGGTGACAGATAAAAGTGGGCAAGAACAACACTCCAGACATACACAAGACAGGAAAAAAGCCAGCACAGCGTCCCCGGCATAAAGGAGGGCCAGAACAGGAGCTATCTGGTGAAGAATGAATGCACTCTCTCAGGAGAATAGCAAAAAATTTCCATAAATTGTCCTCCCAGTCTCTGAACAACTTCTCTTCCAACCTGTGCCTGCTGCAGGCCTCTCTCGGCTCCGCCACACAGGTGCTCTCAAAGCGCATCCCCTCTCAGGACATCTCCATCCATGCTTTCAGCCAAAGCACATTTTAGCATCTACATGGCCTGGCCAGACAGGGCGTGGCCCGGGCCTGCCCAAGACTAAACAGCATGACCATAGGGACGGCACAGCAGCATGAGGACTAGGGCAGTAGGTCAGTCTAGGAAGACACCTTCACTGAGAATTCAACTAAAGCGTGGGGAGGAGGAGCTAGCTTTCTGGGCAGAGGCACATCACGAAACCTCTACAAGCTTCAGGGGACCTGTGGGACCTCATGTACCACCCAGCACCTCACTTATGTGACACAAATTCTAAGTACATAAGAAGCCGCCTGCTTGGACAGGTGTATATAGGGCGAAGGCCACACAATGTGGCCGCACAGGTCAGACTCATGTGCGGGGACAAAAGCCTCGTCAGCCCAGAGCCACCGAGCCAGGAACTCTTGGTAAAGGCTGTGAGGTTTGACCTGAAACCAGGTTCAGGAGGCTCGCCCATGCACTGCCTTCAGCCCAGCTGCTGGGAGGCGAAATGAGAAGCCCAGACGTGCTCACCTTAAAAGACAGTCTGAGTGACAAACTACAATGAGCTTAGGGAGCATGCCTGTGAGTCACCCTGTAAAAAGCTGGTGACTTTAAAAGCTACAGTAAGCCACCTAAATATAGATGAGAAAGAACACGAGTGGTGACAGACAAATGGTCTCACAGGAAAGCATTTCAAACGTATGACAGCCGGACTCCACACAGGAGGCTAAATATAAATATTCTACCATCGCTGCCACCCAGCCAACCTTCCTTAGCAGCCGTCTCCAGCTCGGAATCACCAACATAGACAGGTATTTTGAGACTAGCGGATCTAAACGCTAGTCTGGTGATTGATCTATGGCTTGGAAGGCAACAGTCCAGACGTCATTGTAATTAGCATCAACAACAGAGTCACCTCCCCAACCCCATGTGAAACAGCCAAAGGTTTCTGAGAAAAAGGCTAGAAGTGAAGGGTGATAACCTAGTCACATATCCAGGTGGCTCGTGAGCATCCTTGTCACTCTAACAAGCAAAAAGATTTTATTTAGGTCATTATTCAAAGCATTTTCTAACCATTATAGGTACTTAAGGCCAACCAGGGGCCATTAGTCATAGAAAACCTAAAACATATAGGTAAGAGGATGTGCCCGGCTGTAGATCTTCTTCCCATCACTGTTTACAAAGAGGATGGAAGGGGTGCTTATCCAACGTCTGACCACCTTTATCAAGCCCGGGAGAGGCCCACAAAATGAACGGCCCTTCTCTAATGGGGCCCAGGCTCAGCATTAAAAGAAACTCATTCCTGGGGTTATGCATCCGGATGGAATATCGACTTAAAAATGATGCCCTCCCAGTAGCTCCCTGCAAAACTACAACTTGGCGG